GCCTAAAATTGGTCATGTCCTGTCATTTGAAACACATCCAACTTTCCGTATCTGCATGCTCAACGAAGTGCGATCGACCTATCAGAAAAACATCTTCTGTTTTATTTCCTCTCTATGGATCAGTCTGGAAGTGGCTCGATGAATCTTCAACACTTCAAAGCGCGGATCATTTTACGGCGTAAAGGCAGTTTTGCTGGAGAGTAGTAAAGTCAAACTATGGATTACACCCTAGCCTTTCGAGGGTCGACTAATGGTACAATCTGTGTAGGCAGCGGATGTATGCGATATTGACGACAATAGGTTCATTTTTTCCGCTATTTTGCCACGTACATCTCCTGCAGATCCATTGAGTAATTAAAAATTTATAAGGTACTTCTGCATTTAAAAGCAAGGAAAGCCTATTGTGCAAATCGAATCCATTTCCCTTAATCATTTGGAAATCAATTATAAGTAATAAAATTGGCAACGAAAGGACTCGGATTATCTTCTGCCGAAGATCAAACACTGGCACCGGACGAGGCCGCCTACGCAACCCAAAAAAAATACGCGGCCATGGAATTTAACTGATTGAAGTTGGCAACAGCAGTTTTTTCAATATTTTTAAACTGAACCGAAAAACGAATTAATCAACCATCCTTATATCATACTGCTGTCAACTTCCGGACATTCTTCTTTCAAAACTTCTTGTAAATGTTGAAACGTTCCGCTGATTAGGAACCTAGCCAAATCTGGCACACTTTTGAATGCAATACCCCTGCTCTAAACAGAATTGAATTTTACCTCTTAGAATTTACCCATCCAAAATTAATCTTTCATGATTATTTGGGGGAAAGTTCACTTCTCTCCGTGATATGATTAATCAAAGATGCGCCATGAGTGATTAGACGGAACAAAGCATGACCTGATAAGATGTTTACTCACCGTTCGATCCATCATTTAATAGTGTTACAGATTCCATCTGCCTTGGTTTGCCATTTTATTTAGTTCTAGAAATTCAGTTTTCGCAATGAATTGTCCAACGATTATTGCGATTTTAAAGCCTTGTGGTCTACCTGGAGACACTGTACTATTCTGGAAAAGATATGCAGGAACTACGTGTCACTAGTGTCAAAAAAAACTAAGTAACTTTCAACTAATTGCTGAGCAGATGTACTTCGGTCTTTCACGTGAAACACTGTTTCTGCTTTTAAGCTGGGCTGACCGTGGCTAACATGCTATCTCATTCTAGTTGGGAACAAGATTCATGAAATCGGGAGAAATATCTAGATGAATTGTAGTACGAACGTGATATTTTTCAGAGGAGTAGCACATGAAACGGTTTTCCTCATCAGAAAGTTTTGGGCTTCTTTATGCAAGGCAGCTTTCAAGGTATTTGAAATTCGAAAGTAATGAATATGTATTCCAGCGTGGCGCAGCTTCAAGTGGAACAACGAACTGAAGCGGTAGGCGATAGCAAAGCTGGCCACCATCGTCATTCCATCAGTGAGTAAATTTCGATGGTCGCTTATTCTATTGTGTTTCTGAAGCAGATTCGTTTGACATTGCCTATAATGTTCCAGTTCCTGTGCCAGCGTTTCACCTTCGGCGAAAGGATAACCGGAGTTTGGAGCGAAGCCTTCGATACCATTGCCTCGAATTATTCATCCTTGATGTTTTCTGCAGGTTGCTTGAGCAAATAGTCGTTACTTCGCCTTCCTTTCTGAAATCATTCGCTAGACGTACCAAAACCATTGCAGTTATGACTTCTCAATCTGAAGAAGCTCTCTTGGTTATCAAACTCTGAAACATATCGAGACGGATGATCCCAACCATTTGTTTTTGAAGCTCTTTTCAGCAGCTTCTACTTGGGATCGAAGTTTTTCATTCATGGTCCATGACTAATGACCTAGATAAGCATCAGGACCAAAATCCATTG